CAGTTATCCATTCATACTAATCTCTAAACTAGAATTATTGTCCTGAATTTGATATTCCTGTCCTTATTTGCTAAGCAAGTTATATGCCTTATAGGGAGGGTCAGATTTTCTTTTTTTTTCTTACTACACCAAAAGACCATTTTCAGTGATGTTTTATTTTATATGGAAGGAAACTAGAATTAAGAAATAATCTACAGATGAGGTCAAATTTACCAAGTTTCTGTGAAGTAGTCTGGCCAATTAACTGCTGCTTTATTTGACCAGACCTTGGAGTGGATCACTATAAACATTTAAAATTAAATTTGTTTTACTTGTGAGACCTTGGAGAGTGCTTAGAACACTGGGCCAGAGATGCCCTCCTGTGGAAAAACCAACAGGAACAGGAGAAAAGAATTGCACAGTTCTTGCAGAGTTGTCCCAAATTGTCTTGTCAAGGAGTAAGATTTACCATCATCCTTTAGACTGTGCCAGAGGCCTTTTCCTCTGGAACTCACAGATCCATCATGATCCCCCAGGACATTAAGGGATCTGTTAGAAGCACAGGGCCAGCCAGTTCTACAAGGGATCTGCGCCACTGCACTGGCACATGGGCACTGGAACCCGAGCTTGCTCTTCAGCTTCCTGGCAACTGGGCTGGGGCTCTTGTGATTACTTTTCTCCCCACTTTCCTGTCCTCTGCTCATTCCCAGTCCCTTTCCAAGGACAGTTCTACAGCATCAAGGGGAAATACTGCAGAAAATCAAGCCTACTTCCCGTATTCACTTTTCTGCAGCTTTCCTGTAGTGTTCAGGGGGTAATATGCAGCCACTTACTATCGCCCGCTTGTCTCTATAGCTTCCTTCAGTCATGGGAAGGCAACATGTGGGTTTGGCAACTGTGGGAAAATGGTGCTAAGAATGTAGCTGACATCCCACTCCCCACTCCTGACCTCCCACAGGAAGCATGATATCTGAGTCCAGGTCCTTCTGCATGTGGATCCTGGAGGATTGATCTGGCCCATAGGAAAGACTCCCCAGCACTTCTCCCAGTTCTGCCACTGGCTGGCTGTGTGCTTGCTCTAGACATTTAACCTCTCTTTGCCATCTGCAAAACAGGTATAATACGCAAAGCCTGTGAACTCTGCAGCCCACGGAGATCAAATTCCATGGCAACAACCCATAAGCTCTACTGCAACACTGAATTATGCTGCTGTTGTTTCCACCCCTCCTACCCCCCTTCTAAGCACACAGCTATAGCTCAGAGTTGAAAATACTCATTGATGTAAAATTTGTCAATGGTTATTTCCAGCTGTGATTATTATTTGGAAGAACAGATTTTTTTTCTCTCTCCCTGATCCCCACAGCCTCCCTCCCCCCACAACAAATATCCTATGACCCAGACTTGGGATCCTTTCCCTCATGTGTGCTCCGAACAAGGGGAGAACTTGTAGTTAGTTACATCTCCTTGCTGTCCATGGACTTCAGCTCTCTCCATGTGCTCAAGGTGACCCAGTTAACCAGTTTATGCTCCTGGCTACCCTCATTTTCTGCCTGCAAACTGAACACCATTGCTTGCTCCCTGATCTGCTGCTTGATTCCAAGCTTTAGGGAGCACGTACTGTAACTGTATTCATGTCACCCTCTGAGGAAAGCTGAACAGAGAAAGAGGCCATTGCCAGCAGGCCCAGGCAGGGCAGAGACAGAAAACAGTGCAGTTTGCCTGCAAAAAATGGCAGATTTCATACCAAAAAATGCTATCTTCTATGGCATCTTGAACCCTCCCCCCCCCCCCC